GGTACCTTTATGACCACCCGGGTGTGACTCATCTGTGAGACCGACATTTAACAATTCAGACAAATAATGCGATGTGGAAATCTGTGAGAATTAGACAATAAGCGTTGGCTCATGACTTAATTATTATTATTTTTTTGAGCTGATCAAAGAGACAGTGAGTTGGCTATTGAAGTGTTTTACCAGTGATATTCGTAGACAATATTTGTGCTAGCAGACTTTTTTTTCACCGAGAACCACCAGCAGTGGCATTAAACATAGTGATAGCGACCAAGGTTGAAAGTCAAGTCTTTGCAGTTTGCATCATTTGTATCTATCTGTAAAAATATGTCTATGTTCAGGTGACTGCAAAAAAAAAAAAAAAAAAAAAAAAAAAAAGCCAAACAAAAAACTGTGGACCACTGATCTTGAGAACGTGACACAGGTGCATGTCTTGTGCTAAGATTTTCGCTTTCAATACTGCACACAACAGTGCGACGACACCTTGGTTGGTGATCACTTCAACCGTTATTTGAACATCATTAGATTGTGCAAGTGTTCCTAATGATTGTCGGATGAATGTTTGCCGGATCCACAGTTCTGTATTCTCTAGTTACTCAACACATTGCTGGTGTGGGTGTGCATATGCGTGTGTGTGTGTGTGTGTGTGTGTGTGTGTGTGTGTGTGTGTGTGTGTGTGTGTGTGTGTGTGCGTGCATGTGTGTGTTTGCCCCATATTTGGTTAATGGCTTGGGTTCTTTTGTGTGTCAACAGTTTTGAACTTTACGATCAAGCAAGGATGTATTTCAACGTGTGGATGCATGAGGCCTGGAGGACTACTGATTAAAGCAAGCATAAGGACATTACCAGAGAGGTCAATGTATAATTGTCTGCACTCGCACAAGCACACACTCACAGTTACATGTACATACGTACATGTTTTTGATACCAGTCGTCTCCAAGTCTTGCACCAGGAGGATGTCCTTCCCTCTTTAACCTTATTTTTACTCGACTTGACATGCCTTGATGATGTCAGAGCTGTTAAGAGGAAACATAAATAAAGTGCAGTGACCACACAGCCCTTATGGAACAAATTAAACTGACATGGGCCCCTGCACGGCAAGGCCTCAGTCCAGTTTGTTATTTCAGCTCCTGTGTAAGTGACAGACCCTAAGAGCAGGAGTTCTGCTTTAATAAAATAAATAAATCAATCCTGGGAGCAAGGGCAAAATTCTCTACAGAGGACATGGGCTTTCCATACATATGCAGCTTTGTCAAGCAGCAAGTTTATGGAAAATATAAATATGAATTTATGTACTTTTTCATAGTTTTTTGTACCCTTCATTATTATGATTGTTATTATTACAGTATTATTGTTACTATTATTATTTTTATTGTTATTATTATTGTTATTATTATTGGCTTTTGTCATTTTTATAAAGAAAAAGTCATTCCCGGTGAGGTGTTATTAAGCATCCTTTTACAAACTGTGTTATCAACCTGATTTGTTGCATCCAGCCTGACTGTTCCCCCTTTGAGTACAGATGTATTTCAGCTCAACACAACAAACAATATCAAGTGGACTCCTTTGATTAACAGGAAACCACAACACACACTGACAGGTTAATCTGTTTCATGAGTGTGAATTATTAATGCTTATTTGTTTCGATGTGGGAATGGCGGCACGGTGACCAAGTGGTTAGCATATCCGCCTCACAGTGCAGGGTCCGGGTTTCGGCTTTCCTTTGTGGAGTGTGCATGTTCTCCCCGTGCCTAAATAAATACATTTGTAAAAAAAAAAATAGAGATCAGATTTTCAAAACTCTTTCAATGCCAGCCGTTTTGAGACTCTCCGTTACCATGTGGGGAAAAAAAACCCATAAAAGACATAAGAAAACCAACCTGGGATTGAATGTCATAAAGACATAAAAAAGACATAATAAAGAAATAATAAAAGACATGAAAATACATCCCTGAGTGATTATTAAACATGAGAAAATGGATGGACCCAAAGGAGCTGTCATTAAAAAGTTCAATAACAATGTGGTTTATTACAATTATTTGATTTAGTGGTGAGGTGACCTTCCACAGAAAGTCATTTAGTTGATACAGATTCCAAAAAACGCTCTTCAGTAGCTTCTTATTTAGATCAGTGGCCGCAGTGGGGTTAACCCTCACTCAGACGTTATGGTTTCACTGAAGGAAATGAACTTATTAGTCTACCCAGCAACGCAGGAGAGCACACAGATGTCCAACATCTCTTCATATATTAACTGTTTTCCAGGAGCTTAAAACAGTGAGTGTGGCTGCTTATAGCTTATGAAGTCTAAAACAATGTTGATGAGTAGCAGGTGCTGTGAGTTAATGATTCTCTTAGGGGATATTTTGGCACGAGTTATTAATACATTCAAGCTTGGTGTTTGTCTGGGGACATATGACCTCTTCTCAACTGTGGTGAAGCTGGGTCCTTTACATGCTACATAAATGCTTTATAGACACACACACACACACACACACACACACACACACACACACACACACACACACACACACACACACACGTACATATATTTTGGGACACCTGCCCATTCAACCTGTGGCCCCTTTTTTGCTCCTCCGACTCTATTTTCCCACTCTACTGGGTCTGTGTGTCTCTGGCATTGTCTGTTCATTCAGTCGGAATCATTGTGAGGTAAGAGGTCACCATGCAACAGATTTCAAATGGTCAAAGAAGAACAGACCATTGTAACCGAGAAACATCTGAGCGCTGAAACCTTTCCACAAATCATTAGGTTAGTGTGATTCTGTAATTACTGCACAACTAATGTCTTCTATCACTCGATTTATTGCCACTTAAAGAATGAGTAAAAATTCAAAAAACACCATCCATCCATTTTCCATTCCGCTTTATCATCACAAGGGAATGCTGGAGCCTATCCCAGCCGTCTTCAGGCAGTAGGCGGGGACACCCTGAATTGGTTGCCAGCCAATCGCAGGGCACACAAAGATGAACAACCATCCGCGCTCACACGCACACCTTGGGACAATTTAGAGTGTTCAATCAGCCTGCCATGGATGTTTTTTTGGAATGTGGGAGGAAACCGGAGTACCCGGAGAAAACCCACACAGGCACGGGGGGAACATGAATCGAACCTTGCACTTGTGCACTGTGTGGCGGACATGCTAACCAGTCGACCACCGTGCCGCCCTTAGTGCCATCTAGTGATGACCTAAAAGAATGCAATGACCTAATCGCTAAGCACATGCATTTTGAAGGTTGAGTCATCATGTTGAGAAATGTCATCCGCTAAATTCGTCTCCTTTGGGTATCCGTAGCAGAAAGATGGCGGCGAAACATGGCAGCCTCCTGGAGGGACGATGCGCCCTATGTAATATACTGTAATTAGCGATTGCTTCACCAACTGTTACATTTAAAACAATTACGCTGATGTAATAGAACATATTTTTTTGCACAATGTTGAAATTTATAGTGGGATTTTGAAACAATGAACAGTGAAAAAAACAACAGAATCTTTACACAGCGTCCCTTTATTTCCAGCATATGAGGCTTATTGAGTTACGTTGTATATGAAATGTGCTACAAATCAGTGATTGTACTTTTTATCTATTTTTTATTTTGTTTATTTTTTAGAATATTTCTTATTAAGCCTCCGTATAATATCCCCACTCTATTTGTGATCTTTTTTTTTTCTTTTTTCTTTTCAAAAATATGAGCGTTATTGACAGGATTTTACAGTTCTCAGTTTTATTCACACATCCTAGAAACCTTTGATTTGATTCAACTACAGTCACAGCACAGTATGGTTGTGGTTAGTTCGAATCTCTGCCTCATTCCCTCTTGTGTGGAATTTTTCTCAGGGTACGTTGGCTTCTTCCCACATTCCAAAGATATGCATAGTAGGCTGATTGAAGACTGTAAATTGCCAATCGGTGTGAAAGTGAATAGTATTATATCCAGTATGTGCCCTTGATTGACTGGCGACCCGTGCAGTGCTTCCCGCCTGAAGTTATCCGTGATAGACATCTCACCTGCAACCCTAAAAAAACAGTACTGTATATGGCTTTGTCAAGAACTGTGGACGGAAAGTTGCATACAAACAACACAAAGAAACCCAATGAACCTAATGAAAACATTACATCCTTGGTGAAGGTAACAGAATATTTAGTGATGAAGTGGAATAGCAGATGAGGGGAGGATGAGGCGGTAATGTGAAGACAAATGTGCTGAAGCTTTCCCTCGCAGGCTCCAGCATGACGTGGTGCCGCTCACATTCCAGGCTTATTACTTAAAGATGTTTGCTTGTCATTGCTTTTCCTGTTCACATGCCTGTAATATTGTGGCCGAGTCGCTCGCAGTCGTTTTCCACTGCACTAAACACTTTCAGGAATTCTCAGCCAGTTCAAGAGACAGGATATAAATCAGTACACAACAGACAAACAAGAGACTGGACACAACAGCTGGACTTGATTTGGGGGGGAAAAAAAAAGACTCGTAATTGTACTTGTATCCCTTCCGGGGATGCCATTATTGAGGCAAACAAGACATTCAGTGGTTAGGGCATGATTAACTCATGAATTAATTACAAATATTACAATAAAAAAATGACCAAGTGGTCTTTAAAGAGCAAATAGATTTGGATTGAATGATTTAAGTCGTTGAAGCAGAAGGAAGGTGATGTTTGATTATTCACAGCAGTGGAATCCACTCTGGCATTCAAGTTCTGGCCGATGATGGGAATTGAGAGGGACAGTATAGGCTTCTATCTGTGTGGACACACGCACACTACCAGCTGGAGAAAAAGTGGTCAGAGAGCCCAGAGATTTCCAGAGGAAGTACAGCGTAATCTATGAATTAAATATACAAGCTGAGACCATGATTTCATTCAGCGGAAAGCCTGCAACAACCCCACCCCGTCTCTCGCTCATTGTTGTGCTTTTCTTGCAGCCAGTAGGCCTTCATTTGCACTTTACTAAGAAAAGCTCTTGTTTTGCTCTCGCTGCAGGTGGAGGAGGCAAGCGCAAAGGGAGAAGCAAAAAATGGAAGGAGATCCTTCGTTTCCCCCACATAAGTCAGTGCACTGAGCTGGGCAATAGCATCGGTATGGTTTGTGCGTGTGCGCACGCTGGCTTGAGTGTGACAAAACTGTGTCCGCCTGTATTTTTAAAGTATTGTGTTTCCCTCTCTTTGTAGTGAAGGACTATGTCTGCATCTGTGAGAAACAGCCTATCGGAAGGCAACTCTTCCGTCTTTACTGTGAGACAAGACCAAAACTGCAACGCTGCATTCAACTACTGGATGCAATGGTAGAGGCACGCACACACACACACACACACACACACACACACACACACACACACACACACACACATTTTATGACAAGCCTTCCCGCAATAATCCTGCAAAATGTGGGAAACCTCAACTTTCGAATTATGACCACTATTGTAGTGTCAGAGAGACAGCTGAAACAATCGCAAAACGTTTGAAAGACTTTTAAAGGGCAAGAAAAAAATGTTGTCATGAATAATATGTTCTATGCAGTCCCACTAGTCTAAACACGGCATTCTGATTAATATTGTGTTTGTAGAATATGAGTTGAGTAGTAAAATACACCTGTTCTTGTCCATCTCAGGGGGGCGGCCAACTTGACATTTGCTGTTGAGTGAAAATGACAAACCATGGCTATGGACTCAGGTAACGACCAATCATGCCTCAGCTTCAGAAAACAGGTGAGCTGTGATTGGTTGTTACCTGAGTCCTGAGCAACTGTGAGGTCATTTTCAGCTGACAGAAAGTGGCAAACTGGCCATCCCCGAAGATGACTAAAAACGGGTGGGTTTTGCTGCTTAATCCATATTTCACAAAGCTAATATGAACCAAAATGTCGTGTTTAGACAAGTGAAGCCGCAAAGAACATATTATTGTCAAGAAACGTTTTGGGTTGACTTCTCCTTTAATATTGCACGATTAAAAAAAAAAAAAAAAAGCATAGATTAAGACTGGAAACAATTGCAACACTTTAATTGGCATGCTAGACTTTTTGTTCTGGACCCTGACTCTAACCCATGATGCCGCAACTTATTAGATTCATGCTGTCATGGCGAGGTATCTAACTATAATTTACGTTTTGCAGCGCATTGACTCGATTACAGTGCTGCCTGACAATGTGTTGGTATTAGCTGATGCAGCAAATAAAAGACGACTAACTGAGAAGTTATTATTCAACTGAACCCCGACCATCCCAAACACAGCAAACACTCCACATCGCTTTCTGTTCGCGTCTAGAAGGAATACCTCCCACTTGACATGTTTAAGTCTTTGTCTACGCCGAGGATATCTTAGCGGGTATGTGACCACACAAAAAGAGCAGCATTGTTTCTCGCACCACCTCATCCACTTCCAGCATATCCCCCCAATACACCCCATGCAAATACACACATATCACTCCCTCCTTCTGTCACGATCAAAGTTAACCTTAAAAGCGACCCTGTGAAAGGGGGAACCCAGAGTAAATGCAGTTATCCAGTCATGTAGTGAAGTTAAATCCACACAGCCCTGGACTGCTGCATTCGCACTTGACTGACAGTTAGAGGTGTAATTAATCAATGGATTGACAACTAATTGATTATCAAATTGATAATTATTTTTGATAATCAATTAATTTTTTTAGATACCTTTGTTAAGTGAAAATGATGCAAATGTATACAAAATTTCAGCTTCTCAACAGGAAATATTCTGCAATTGATGTTGCCCTCCATGATAGATTATCTGTGTTGAATCAAAAATGTAATATTTGCTTTTACTGTAGGGAAACAATGATCAACATTTTTGCCGGTTTTGTGATATGTTACGGAGCGTTGACGATTTTCTGACATGTGTTTGGCCCCAGTGAATGAACAAGACAAGACCAGTGTGGTCAGGGGAGTTTAGTGTAAACCTTTTTTATTATGTTGCTTAATCCCCACCCTTTGCATTTCTTTTGGTATCACTTTGTTGATTGTGTCTGAGGAGTCAAATTTGTCTGACAGGTAAAACCTCCTTTTTATTTATTTATTTATTTATTTTTAATGAGAAGCACTGAAACAGTGATCAAGGCCATGAAGAGAGAGAGCTTTTTACAGTTTGTGTGACCGAGGGAGGAATGTGTTCAGGGGTTTCACTTGAGAGGCCGTGCGTATTTTGTGCATGCGTGCTGGATCCCCCTCTTGCTTCCAAAAGGTTAAAGGGGCGTCTTGTCCATTTGGGTGAGATCCTACAATGTAAATGATTACATATTAGAGTGAAGTGGAGGTCAGGTAGAGGTACGATCTGGTCAAGTGACTGAGGTTGTATGTCTTGGGCATACTCACTTGACAGTTTATCCGGTAGATGAAGGGAAAGTAATGACATAAAGTCTTCCAACGAATTGTCCTTCATTTTATTCGTTGTGTCGTCATACTGCGAAGCATTTCTAATATGTACATCTCATTATTATTAAATGTGTTGGCATCAGTTTGTCTGCACATTACTGATGTACGGAATAATTCAAACCGTGACAGTGTATACAAGTTGGATGCCCTTTTTTCCTTGTTCTGAAGTGTCAGTGACGCTGCTGCTTTTTAAAGCCTAAATCTCCAGGCTTATGTGTGTATGTACTGTATGTATACGTGGGTGTGGGTGTGTGTGTTTTATAGTGGAAAGATGGTGACGCTGGTGTGACACACTGTGACACTCCAGGACCTCGAGGAATCCTGCCGTGTTTTCTGTGTGGTTGCCAGGCAACACAGGGCCTTGTTGGGGGGAAAAAGCTTCTGATAGACAGTGTCAGGCTAGTGTGCAGCCTGGGTGCCTTGCTGCCCCCCTCCCTGCTTTTGCTTCATTGAAAGTTAAACGTGCTCGCTCTGAAATGCGTCAGACTTCTTTTCATGTCTCTGAGACGTCCAATATGAACAGTCTTTTATGTCATGCCTGTCTGTGTGAATGGCAACATATGTATAGACACACAGCCAAGTGCGCCATATGTTTGTGAGAGTGACAGCAACACACGCATTTAGGAAAAGACTCACGCATTTATGCGTGAGTCTTTTCTTTTTCTTTTAAACGCCCTGGACTTGAACATTTTTCATCTGTGCACTTTCTCTCGTCCAAACTTCTGACAAACCCACTTTGCATAAGCTTTAAATGAATGTGGAAACACTAACGAGGCGTGATTCACTGACATCAGGCTGTGTGGAAATCTTGTAACATGTACTTTTCTTGAGACTTGAGAGTGTCATTGAAATCTGTGAAAAAGAGGCTCTATTTAAGTTTGAAAATGACTTATACGATGTCATGGAAGCAGTGTCAGCCAATTTGGATGTGCAGACCGCTGCGGCTACACTTACACATTGAAGGAGAGTGTGTTTTTGTTTGAAATACATGACAAAAACAGTCATTTGAGCAGCATACTGTGCGTCTGACCAAATGCGTCGTTGTCGGTCCATCAATGAAAAGAGAGGGTGCCTTTCATGCTCTACATTCGCAGTCCCCAATTTTTTCCCCCAAGGACCGGTTTCAATTAGATTTGATTTTGACGCTCCAGAATAAAAACATTTAAAAAAAAAAACCAGATTTAAAAACATTACACACCCTTTTATCATTGTGATGAGTTTTATTTGTTGAAATAGATGGGAGCACTGCACTTTTTTTCTCTTCAACAAGCAGGTCCGAACTTGGGGTAATCTTTTCTTTCGGAAAACTCCAATGGTTTGTCTTTCAATGCCAGCCAGCAACATGATGAAATAGAATCGCTCTTCGCAAGAAAACAATTGCACAAACGTTGAAAAACACCAGCTTGCACCATATTCTCTGACAATACATTCCACGGCTAAAATGCTGGAGAAACTGACTCACAGGGCCTCTTAGATCCAATGGTAAATGGACTGTCACTTATATAGCGCTTTTCTAGCTCAAGTACTCAAAGCTCTTTACATTGTAACCTCATTCACCTTTCATCAGGGGGGTACACTATCTTGCTCAAGGACACTTTGACATGATCGCAGGGCCGGCGGGGATTGAAGCACGAACCTCTGGGTTGGGAAACAACTGCTCTACCACTGAGCCATGCCGCCCCAAACCCTTACCCCGGCAAAGGGGGTGGCAGGGGTGCTGTTCAGATGCTGACGTACATTCGGGGCTCTGCTCAAAAAAAAAAAAACAATGCAAACGGACAAACAAAAAATCCCGCCTCTGTGCTTGCGTTAGTTTTCTCTAAGTACTCTGGTTTCCTCCACATTCCCAAAACATGCGTTAGGTTCACTGAAGACTTTAAATTGCCCACAGGTGTGAATGTGAGTGTGAATGGTTGTTTGTCTGCAGTACATGGTCCCTGAGATTGGCTGGCAACTAGGCCAGGGTTTACCCCGTCTCTCACACAAAGTTAGCTAGCATAAGCTTCAGCTCACTTGTGAGTGAGGATAAGCAGTGAAGCAAACCGATGGATGAAGTTATGAGTGTCAAGATTAGACAACAAATGGCTGACTTGCACTTTACTTTGAAGTCTTTACGATCGTCCAGGCGCTATCATTCAATTCATATACTGTATTTTATGCCCACCTGACTTGTTTACAACTTCACCAACACAGTAGTTTTGCAGTATGGTAGAATGTATCATCTGGATGTTGGTAATGATGAGTTTTTTGCTCGTGCAGGAAGATTACGAGGTGACGCCTGATGAAAAAAGAAAAAGCAGAGGGGACCAGATTGTCAAGACCTTTCTTTCCAAACAAGTGAGTTAATTTCTATGATTTTGTTGAATTTGTTAGTGTTCTTCTTTAATATACATTAGAGTTGTGTAGAATAACATGGTGCTGTTTGAGAAAGTGTGTGTATTGACAAAGAGCATCGTATATGCATGTTTTGATGTAGTCACCTCAGCGTGTGGACATTGCAGAGGTCTTTGCAGATCAGTGCCGAGAGAACCTTGAGCTCAGTCCATGTAAGGAGATCTTCAGCAACTGCCGCAAGTGAGTCACCTCTCCGTCTTTACATCCTCTCACTTGCCTGCTGGACTCACCTGTTTTTTTTTTCCTTATCCTCGCACACACCCATTTATAGTATATTAAGCGTTGGCTTACATGTTACTGTGATGACTGAGCCCCACCTTTGTGTTTGGAACCAGAGCTGTACACGACTACCTGAGCGGTGCTCCATTCGCAGACTTTGAGAACAGCATGTACTTTGACCGCTTCCTGCAGTGGAAGATGTTGGAGAGGTCAGTTCCTATCAGGTGTACGCAGCGGACCCTCACTATTTGCGGGGATAAGGCGCAAACCCGACCGCAAAATTCTGCGAATGATTGAGATGCTCTCCTAAAAGTGATTATTATTGCCTGACTTGATAGTAAACCATAACTATACCACAAGTTATGGTCTCAAAACACATTGATAGCATACAAACCCTTACAAACTCTTAAAATACACTCCTGGAAACAGTTTACAGTTGAACACATGTTGAAGAATTGCTGTAGCATTGCAACATGGTGTCAAACAATAAACATTTGAATGTCAAGCAAAGTAGAGGCGTTTCCGTCCATCGATGGTGCTGACGCTCCCTGGCCTTTTCTGCTCCCGCTTCTGGCCTGTGCTGGTGGGAAAATTTACTGCTTTGTAAGCCTCTGGCTCTGACCAACGTAGTAGTTAGCGCTACAATGGTGATGAGCACTTTGGTCTTTCCTGACCCAAAATTGCTGGATCCACGCAGCAACAACACAAACTGTCTCAGATAGGTTTCTCGATCTGTCAGTTGTTGTTATAAATGACACTGGTTTTGATGACGTGGTTATTCCAAGTTTGGTCAACCTGTTCTTGCCAGCTGACAGACTATCCTCTTCTGCTGACCGTCAACCCCAAACAATACAATAAATATCATAAGACTGTCGACAATATTATATCCCACTCCAAAAATGAGAAATAGGTGAGTTTTTTCCACGATTAGCAGAGGATAGTGAAGAAAAACTAAATCTTCAAATAGGTAAATTCGCTAATGCCAAACCGCAAATATGCTGGGGTCCACTGTATACGCAATCTATTCGTTTTAGATTTGCTCTACAGAAAACATCAACAAAATACTCCTTGTTTGAATCCTCATCTGGCTCCTAAGTGTGATTTATTTATTTTTTTCACACACTATCTGCTTGTTGTTCTATATTACTCACAGTATTTGTGTGTTGTGTGTCTTTATTCATTTGGTCAACTATTAAGATGTTGTGAAATTGAAGCGGAAGCGACTTAAGTTTTAAACCGTGAATTCAGCAACAAAAGTCAAGAGCACCTTCCCTGTGTAAATAAAAACAAACATATAGACATAACGATTTCAATTCAACCCCGTTTCCACCAAAGTATACTTTATTTTAATTATGGATGTTAGATACCACTTCAGACTAATACCAGTATGAGTACTCAACTCTAGAGTTGTCACCAATACCAATACCAAGTACTGATACCTCTAGTACATTTCATATATAAAATTTCCCCCCAAAACATTGACAGAGAATTTCAAAGAAAATCCTACATATCTCAATATGGCATTCTACCCAAACGTTGGATAAAATGATTTTTCTATTGTCTTATTCGATTTATGTACATACACTTAAGAGAAAGGGTGGCATGGTGGATAGATGGATACTTACAGAAATTGCATCTGAACCTTCTCAAACGACACGACATTTTTGTCATTCACAACATTGGCGTTGTCAGACTAATAGATACATTTCATTTTGTGTCTTGTACCGGGCGAGACGTCACACGACAGGTCTGCCCTGACCAGACGCAGCCCAGTCATTATATGCTTCTGACAAAATTCTGTCCACTGGCACAAGTCTCTCTGGGAGGTGGGACCAACAGCTGCCAAAGTCATGTCGACGGAGGCATTATATGGATGTGCGTTTGTTTTCTACTCAGAAAAGGAAAAAAAAACTATGGACTCATTCCTGGGTGGTGAGGAGAGGGTGGTATGGACTCTCCGAAAAGAACTTGGGGTAATTAACTTGTTTAATGACGACAGAACTGCTAATCAGCTATTTGCTTTGCATTTAGCAAACGTAGCATGAGTTGAAATGCTCCGTATACTTTCCATATACTTTTGTTCAAGTCACTTTTTAAATACTCTACACCACAATGTCATTGTATGCGCCACGTCCAGTCCCTTGTCAAAAGTAGGATGGCACTGCCCTCTTCTTGGTCAATGCCAAAGAACCAATCAAAGGATGACATATTATATGTTGGACTGGGCAGCAGGACGAACAAAAATTCTGACATGCTACACTTTGGTTGTCATGGTTGTAAAATGTTGCAGATGCCAGATGACCAATCGTTGAGTATGTCACACTACACGGGCTACGATGTGTCGAGACAACTCAAAATCGTCTATGAGGTACTATGTTTGTCTGCGACATGTCTGTCGGCTCAAAAATGTCAGACTACACAAATGTAGATGCTTTTGTGGAGTTTGACGTCGGCATTAAAGGGCATCTGTCAGACATGTGCTTTATGCCTTTACTTCCCGATCGTAAAATGGCCTCTGTTGTGAGAACTGATACATGGAATAATGCTGGGTAACGGCCCGATACCGATACCTGGTATCAGTACGACTCATCCCTAGTTTTTATGGTCAGATGTTATGAAGGGGACCAAAATCGTGTGTTAACCGTTTTTGGCCAGCATTCTCTTGGGTGCAGTGAAATAGTACCCAGAGCCAAACACAGCAGCTTGTTAATTGATCGCAGAGTCACTTTGGTGTTAAATGGCATGCTTTTCCTCAAGACAAGGCTCATCTTATTCTTGCAACAAACTATACCATATTGTGTTACTTTTTTTTTTTTTTAAACATGGCAAAACTTCTTGTAAATGGTAGGTCAGGTACAGTTTGCAGGATCTCACAAAAACAAAATATTGAGCTTGGTGTGGACGTAGAATTTTCACTCTGCTTGCGTCACTATGTGGAACAATCCACACCACAGAATCGTAATGATACCCGGTCTTCTGAACATCACTCTGCACGAACTAGAAATTAGCCCATTAAGTAACAAATGGATGGACATACCAAAAAAAAAAAAGAAAAAAAAAGAATGGTGCTCCATCATGTGGCTCCCTGTAAAGAGTTGTATTCTTATATTAGCAAAAAAGCGCAACAAGCAGGTTTTAGAAGGTTACAGCTGACTTGTGGATGCTCCTAATAGGAGTTGATCACTCTTGGCAGGAACATCTCTGATGCAGAGCGAGCACCATATCAGATGCAGTTCCAAGTAAACAGCAGGCTCTCAGAGCATCCTTGATCATATCCGTTGTCTGGAAAGTAAAATTGCACGCAAGAGGCCCCACCCCATGCACAGGAAACAGACTCAGGATGGTATTGAGTTCTGCAGATAATATCTCTGCCCTAATCAATAATACAGTATGTGAGCATGTATTAATGGGTTTTCCTGTGTCTGTGTTTTGTCAGGCAACCAATCACTAAAGACACTTTCAGACAGTATCGAGTGCTGGGGAAGGGAGGATTTGGAGAGGTGAGAGATACCAGTTTGTCATACACTACTTGGGCAAAAGTAATAAGACTCTTCAAAGGTACAAATTTAAGGCTAGACTAATTTCAACTATCTGAGAGACCATTTCTACTAGATTTGGGGAAATTGTACGAGTTCAGATGTCAAGGCTCAAAGTCTCTATGGTAGTCCCAAAGATGTTATGCTGGTTTTGATAGATTGTTCCATCCCAAACTTGTCTGAAAAGGCTTTTATAGATGTTTCTGTGTACACTTGATGCTGTTATGCTGAGCTTTCCCCAAAACTGTTCAAAAGAGTTAGAAGCAGGGAATCGCTCAAAATATGTCAATTTTTTTTTTTTCATAGATGTGTCTCAATACCTTTGTCAATCAAATGATGTCGGTGCATCCCTTATTTATTACAATGTGAATAATGTGTGATGCGTTTTGTTTTGTCTCAGGTCTGTGCCTGTCAAGTTCGAGCTACAGGAAAAATGTATGCCTGTAAGAAGCTGGAGAAGAAGAGGATAAAGAAGAGGAAAGGAGAGTCGATGGCACTCAATGAAAAGCAGATTTTGGAGAAAGTTAACAGTAGATTTGTCGTGAGTAAACATTAAAAAGCAAACTCCTATTTTGTCCTAGCTACTTTCAACCACTGAATGATGTTCTCCTGGCCTCTAGGTGAGTTTAGCGTATGCATACGAGACCAAAGACGCTCTCTGTCTGGTGCTGACCATCATGAATGGTGGAGACCTGAAGTTTCACATCTACAACATGGGCACGCCGGGCTTTGACAAAGACAGGGTCCAGTTTTATGCTGCTCAGATTTGTTGTGGTCTCAAGCATCTCCATAGGGAATCCATTGTCTACAGGTATCAATCTAAAGAAGAGGATATTTAGAGTTTTGATCAGACCTTTATAAAAATATCCATGCAGAATTAGGCCAGAAGCATGTAGTCAACTTGATGCTTGCTGAAGGGCACTTGACCAAATATAAATGGGTATGTGTCTGCATATATTTCATCCTGTATGTATATTTTTGACCATGTTTGGATAAGAAAATCTCAAACACGCTCGCCCATGTATTTATTTCGCCCTGGAAAAAGAATGGTTCAAACAATCATTAAAAACTCCAAATTATTTATTGCGTGTAAACTTCTGATCACAACTCAAACCGATTTAACTTAGCAGAACAGATTCATTTTAGGTTGCGTGTGTGTGTGTGTGTGTGTGTGCGTGCGTGCGTGCGTGCGTGCGTGCTTGCGTGTATGTGTGTACTGTATATAGATATAGATATATAATTTTTTTGCTTTTTTTTTTTTTTTTTTACAGAGATTTAAAACCAGAGAACATCCTACTTGATGACAATGGTAGGTTTTGAAGCATGATCAGATTTCTGTTTTAAACTCGGGACACAATGTCAGACTGTTGACTTCAAAACTTTGCAATGCCATGTAGTTTGAATTGTAGTTTGGTAAAGGTCTAACACTGCAATATTTTTTTTATTTTTTGGTGTGTATTTTTTTTCATAATAGAAGACGAGATTGTTTTATACACATATATATATATATATGGTATAAAACTGTAGTATAAGGAGATGGGTCAAATGACACACTCTACTTTAGCTTTTTCACTTTTAAAATTTGGTATGATTGAATAAATAATTAATCACAATAATAGTAAATAATTAATAATTGCTCTTTAGCACATCTGCCTCACAGACGAGAGGTGGAGTTTGCATGCTCTCCCGGTGCTTGCTTGAGATTTTCTTCGAGTACTCTGGCTTCCTCCAACCTTCCAAAATCATGCATGGTTGGTTAATTGAAGTCCCTAAATTGTAGGGTGTGAATGCACTGCAAAAACAAATCTTTAAAAAAAAACAACAAAAACAGAAATAAGCAACATGAGGAATATTTTCTTTCTTAAAACAAGTGACCATAGCTAGCCTTCAAAAATCAGTCTTAAAACTAGTGTAGTATGTTTATGATACTACAGCTATAGAAGTATGGTATTTTTCATTTTAAAATAAACAAAAAAAATCTTGACAACAGGTAATACATTATTTAGATTTTGAAGTGGGCGGCCCGGTGCTGGAATGGTTAGTGTGTCGACCTCACAGTGCAGTCAACCTCGATTCCAGATTTGGCCTTCCTGTGTGAAGTTTGCATGTTCTCACCGTGCCTGCGTGGGTTTTCTCCGGGTACTCCAGTTTCCTCCCACACTTCAAAAACATGCATGGACGGCTGATTGAACACTGTAAATTGTCCCTAGGCGTGTGTGTGTGTGTGTGTGTGTGTGTGTGTGTGTGTGTGTGTGTGTGTGTGTGTGTGTGCGTGTGTGGGTGTGCGTGTCTGTGAGCACAGATGGTTGTTCGTCTCTGTGTGCCCTGTGATTGGCTGGCAACCGGTTCAGGGTGTACCCCGCCTACTGCCCGAAGACAGCTGGGATAGGCTCCAGCGCACCCCGCGACCCGGGTGACGATAAAGCGGATCAGAAAATGGATTTTGAAGTAAAAGTTTGGTTGTTTGTCTATGTGTCTTGTGGTTAATTGGCAACCGGTCCAGTGTGTTAGGGTTTGGGTGTGACCCCAAGAGCACGACAACAGGCAGGTATTGTTGAAGCCAACACTTGGCGTAGTTTATTCAAAGAGTCTTCGCAAAGTCACTCAGGGGGAAGCACGAGGAGTCCACAAGGAATTGTCCACACAAGGAACAAGCAGCTGTAGGAAATGGCAACAAAGTCCACTGGCGTGGTGACGGCACGAACTTGCACTGAGGAATGGTCTGTGAGTCAATATGTACCAGTCCAAACGAGCAGATAGGCAACAGGTGGGTGATGAGCTGACGAGTCTCAGGTGTGAGGTGCAGAGCACCCTGGCTGAGGAGGCTGCCTGGCTGGCCCCTCCCTAACACAGTGTGCCTCCAGCCTCTTGCTGGGTATATTGTTGCAAGCATGTCAATTGGAAATTACGTTGTTCGCATTGTTTCTGTTTTACTGCAGGACACATCCGCATTTCTGACCTGGGCCTTGCTATTAAAGTGCCTGAAGGGGACTTGATCAGAGGAAGGGTGGGGACAGTGGGCTACATGGGTAAGTCTTAATTTGATTAACAACTCCATTCACACATGCAAGGTGTTCATCTGATAACCTGTTTGCTCACGTTTAGCTCCAGAAGTGATCAACAATGAAAAATATGGAATGAGTCCCGATTGGTGGGGGCTTGGCTGCCTCGTGTACGAGATGACCGCTGGGCGATCGCCCTTCCGTGCCCGCAAAGAGCGAGTGAAGCGGGAGGAGGTGGAGAGGAGGGTGCAGGAAGAAGAGGAGGAGTACAATGACAAGTTTACAGAGGACACCAAGGAAATCTGTAGAAGGGTGAGAGGGTTGACTTCAAGTTCACATGGATGAATCATGTAGTGATTCATCTCTCCTTCAAACTAACCTAGCTGCTCACCAAAGACCCAAAGCAGAGGCTGGGGTGCCTGGGGGACAAAGCGGCAGAGGTCAAGGCCCACTCCTTCTTCAAAAACATCAATTTCAAGAGACTCGAAGCTGGAATAGTGGAGCCTCCTTTTGTACCTGATGTGAGTGGTCTGATACAATGTTTCCCCATTATTTGGCGGTTCATCATTCGCGACCTAGCTATATCCCCTGCTTTAAGCTTTTTAAATCTACATGCTTTTTAAAACCTTTTCGACATTTTTTTTTCAGAATACTTAGTTATGTAATGTCCTTGCATGTGGGAAAGGAGAGCCACAGTTATCTACGCACTATTCTACCATGCACTGAACGCCAGTAGAACAGTAAAACACAAAGACAATGAACACACGCATGCATGAGCTGCTGTGAGCCCTGATTCTCGCCCAAGCACGAGCACCCAGGCTTGCTGACATCACACCACACCACACCCTACCCAACCAGGGCTAGCCTCTTATGCCACTTTTCGATTAGCCCCAAACAGCGGCACACCACAGCGCACCACACGGCCTCCGTTACTTTTCCTTTACAACAAGCACGTGGCGGGATGACGGCGGGATCAACTGAACTGTGCAAGCATGGCAGAACATTTCACAAGTGGCGAGTGTCAGCCACTGTTTTGTGGGCGACGTTGCAAAATGTGGCCCATCAAATGCGTGACGGAGTTCCTTGCTGCACTGCCGAGATGGTTCTGAAAAGCGGTTTCATCGGAGCCGCTCAATCCCCAAAAAGTGTATCGGAAAAACGAACATCCGGGGCCAAGCGCGGCCATCTCGGTGTGGCGTGGGGCTAATGGAAAGGCTCAGGCTCCATTAAAGGCACATGCATGTGCACAAACACTATAAACACTCCATCCAAAAGAAGGAGATCACTGTTTTGTACCGTAAACACAGTTCAAGTCCAACCCATTGTGCACGTCACATCAGGTACACTTGCACACAAAGAGCCCCAATACATGGGCTGCAGCGAAAGTTCTATCTTGAGGGGGGGGGGGAATCAGTTTTGACACTAAATGTCATGTCTGACGTGAAATCGGATTATTTTCTTTGAGATTTAATGATTTATTTATTTATTTTTTATGGTTAAGAAAACCAGCTTGCATTTCATGTTATCCTTTTCACGGTTATTGGCCTCTTACAGCCTCGGGCAGTCTACTGTAAGGATGTGCTGGACATCGAGCAGTTTTCCACAGTCAAGGGAGTAAATTTGGACCAAACTGACAATGACTTCTACTCCAAATTTGCTACAGGCAGTGTTTCCATCCCATGGCAGAATGAGGTAAGCGTGTGTGCCTTGACCTTGACGGACAATATTTGAATACAAATATTTTGTGCAGTAAGCATAACTTAAGGGAAGAAGTCTCTCAGTAAAGTTTCATTTATTTTGTCTGTTTCTCTTAGTTTGTGGTGTATACAGAACATGATTTGACTCTCCGTTCGTCAACAATGGAGTCAATGTTTGTAATAGGCCAAAGGTGTCCTCTCTTCTCCAGATGATAGAAACGGAGTGTTTCAGAGATCTGAATGTGTTTGGCCCTCAAGGGATGAGACCTCCAGACCTTGACTGGAATCAACCTCCAGAGCCTCCCAGACGCAGCCTGTTGGACAGGATCTTCAGGAGGCACGTACGTAGAAACAGTTAGTCATGCATTTCATGATACAAACTGCAATTCTAACGTCAATCTTTTCTTGCCTTTTATTAGCACCCAGAGGTGTCTATCTCCCACAGCCGTGTGCAGTCTTCCAGCGTAAACTCTGTGGACTCGATGTCCAACTCTGCCCCCTAGTGGTTCGGTTTCAGCGTGGGAGCCAAATACTCAAAGGGAAGGAGCTCGAGGGTTTACCCACTGCTAATTAGTTCACAGTCGGGTCCCGAGGCTGTCTAAAGTCTCATGGGTCAGCCCAGAAAGGGGGAGGTGACCAGGCACAGGTACTCAGGCCATTTTGTTAGTAGGATGGTCAGAGACGTTTTGAAATATTTGGACAAAACCCTCTTACCCTCAGGATTGTTGGACAACAGAACGGAGCCACTTGAGCTGATGAAAGAGTTAAACTAAGCTGATATTTTTTCAGGGCATCCATTGTATCATAAAGACCCACGACAAGGAATAGGAAAGTGGGTCCTGGTGATGATTCTTTTTTCCCAAAAAAGAGTCTTTTACTTCCTGGCCTGTACCCAATAGTGATCCATCTAATCTATAGTCTCGCCATATGTGTATCACTGATAATATTTTCTCTATATTTCCCACCTGTCTTACCTCATACCACTCCTTAACATTCAGAACAGACCGCCTCATCCGCAATCTCAGCTCATAATAAGGATCGTCTCGTGTACACTCAGGCCAAAGATTGCAAATCAATTGTGTAATGTTGAATTAGTGGTCTGATTGTGTCATTTGGGATCGCGTGAGATAAGTACATGAGATGTTTGCTCAATATAACACACACATTCTCTATGTCGTCACATTCTTAAAATGATGGCTTAAGTCATTTTTGGGGAGTCAGAAAACACTAAAAACTGAAGTAAATACTGAATATATTAATTGATAAAATGAATAATTGTGAATGATCTGTTCAACTGAGGATTTTAGCAGAGGTGAGATGATTAAGAAAGACACACACACACACACATTCATGTGTGTATCGATCAATCGATCGATAGTTAGATATCCAAAAAGGACATAGGCCATAATTTTAGCATGGTAACACGATATGTGAGCCTGCAGGCATTTCACATAGCTTGCATACCGGCACATCGGTCAATGCACATTAAACAGCATTGTGACAATCGTAATGTGTTGTCATTGCATGGACAAGTGTACATATGGACAGCTGTATCCTTTTGCTTCTGCATACCTCATTCCACTGATGTTATTGTATACCATACAGCACAGGCATCACCCTCGGTTTACAGTGTCACTTTATAGTTGACGTTATGAGACATTTCAAAAAAGAATACATATGCTGTACAGGATCAGAAATATTTTGTTTTGTTGAGGATTTTTTTTTTTGCACAGTCCCCGTGAAGTGGAGAGGAACACATGCACTCAGCCTGACTGAGAAGTTGCACAATTTAAAATAATGTCATGCTGTTTTGTTTTGGTTTTTTTTCACTAAAATGTTTTACCTCTTAAGGCACATTATTGCATTGGTGATTCCATGCAATGCGTCCTTTCAACAGTTTAGTTATGGCACCTGGTATTTAAAGTGTTCTTTCTCCCTTTATGCCTTTTGCATTTCAATAACATTGTTGCCTCACGTTTACATGTTCTGTTTCTTTTTGTATTTTTCTCCTTTACATGTTCAAAATGCCTCATCTTTTCTCAGTGAGGATGTTAACTATGAATGATTGACCTTATCTGCATTTTATTTATCTGGTCCACTTCATTTATGTCTGGAAGAAGAAAATGCCGGAAGAAACCGAAATATAATACAAAGATAACGTAACGTGGCCTTCCTCCAGCAGCACAGCCAATTAAGGACGAGCGTCACCTCGTCTTCCTGTTTTTAAGAACATGTTGTTTTGCTATGTTGAGAGATTAATTTAATTCACCCAGCCTGTCAGCCAAGTCTGATCCCCAACTCCCTATCTCTGAAACTCCCTATCTCTGTGTACTTGTTATGGAAACAAAAAAAGAAAAAAAAAAAACGGAATCAGACTGAAGTGCCTCCTTGTTTGCATGATCTCCCAGATGATACCCACGCTGCACGCAAACATACACACGTGTGTTCTCTGAATGTCTGTCATACTCATGTTTGTGTCACTGGCAACACATCAATACAAATACACAAGAAGTTGCTGTGGGAGGTGTGCTGGGTGCATGTGAAAACCAAACCCACTGTGTCTTTCAAGTCCCAATAAACTTTGTGCTTGAGTTTGAGTATTCCACCTTATGCTCTTCTCTTCATCTTAATCGTATTACTCCACTCAGCTCATGTTTATGTCATGATACATGTCAGGCCAGTCATTTTGTGGATCATGATTTATTAAAACAAAATTGATAAATGTGATTTGTTGTCCTTTAGAAAGTAATCATTGCTGCAAGGCAGCTAGTTTGGCCGTTATTGACTTCAGTTCACTTGACCAATTGTTCTCGCTTTTCCAGTTCACAGTACCTACCGGTATTTAGGATGTCAAAGCTGGTTTCACCCATGACTCTTTTCCAGATACGCCAGGTACTACTGTAATACTTGTACCTAAACTGCAGTCAGCGTAAAATATTTGAGAAAATATCAAATTATAATATGTTCCAGTACATTTTGCGCAACTTACTCCTTCCTACCGGAGCTGAAAGGCAAAATTCACAAAAAAGATGTTTTACCCATGAAAATCTCCAAAGACATCCACTTGTCTTTCAGTAGCTGTCTGTTGCAACCTGCAAATGACACTAAGTATACTCTAAAGCCCAGTCGCCACTTCCCTCGCAGAGCATCTTGGATGGCCAGGTACTGATCAATTGTTAGTTGTTGTCTTTAGCTTCCGATATAAAAATGTGAACAGCATGGTTCAGAGGACTGTTTAAATACCAATTATAATAGAACCAGGAAATTAATTGGTCAATTCTTGGTTTTAAAACCCATTTAGCTGCTTGTTAATGAACAGCAAGTTGCCCTGAAACAGATTGGTTGGTGCATTCAAACAGTGAAAATATGGTCACCTGTAAATGTTTCAAAGCTGAATGTCTCGAACCTTATTTTTTTCCAGACCCCCAAAAAGTTGTTTTTTACAGTGTATGTATTAAAGACAGTTTACACTGTTTCCGCTGCTGCACTCCACATTCTCACATTTAATGCAAAAGTTTTCTTTGGGCCCTCAAGCTCCTCTGACATCATGGCCAACATATACATACAAACAAGTCAGTGTAGTAGATCCTCATATTACCCACGATGTAGTTTATTAGTGTCTTGTTTTGACCGATTCATTTACTGTAGTTACTTTTCTGGGATATATTGACGTTGAGTCACGTGGTGGCGTGACGGCTAGCTTGACTCATCTTTTCGACATCTCGGCTTGCTTTATCATAATTTATTTCCATTCCATAGTTGCAACCAACATCAACACAACACCATTCCAAAATCATATTCACTCACTAATATAGGACACTAAGAAACTGCTCGTTATTGACACCGTTATTGTATTGGTCATTTATTTATCTATTTTTTTATGATGTACTTATTTATTAATAAAACAATTTCATGATCTGCTGTTACTCACCGCCTAATTTACTTGGCAACAGTCAAATTATGCCCCCCCCCCCCCACTAAAAACACTGCTTGTTTTGAAATATAAAGCAGGACACCAATGCAGAATTTTGAAATCCATTGAAAAAAAAGAAGAAATTAAACCCGGAATATTTTCCACGAATGAAAATGTGATTGACTGATGAATGTTTTGTGGTAGTTTCATGTTTTTGGATTTGCTGTTTAATGTGATGCAGTACAATGTTTGTTCCTTTCAATGGCTGTGATTTTAAAAGGAGTGAATTATTGTTTTCCAAATATTTTATTTTACTGTATGAATGGTTCTTTCATCACAGAACTGATGCTCAAACTCCATCAATGAATTGAATATTTTGACTGAAAAATGGCTTTGGTACTGGGCGGATTTGGAGCTGGGCCTTTTCTCACCCTGCAGAAGGCCACAGAGACTGATGGGTAATCCCCACAATCCAGTTGGAGGGACGCCAAGTTATAGGTCATGGGGATTCCAGTATTTCAATGGGATTCAGCATTAGATTCCTGTTTTATTACGCACATCCTTGTACACTAATCGGATGACTCGACTTTTGACAGCTTTCCATGCAATATGGACACCGGGTGTTAAATTGACAAGCAGACCGTTGAGGCAATATTACTCTTAGATAGTCTTGATTTTGCTTGAAGGGCTGAACAAGGTTGTCAAAACATGTGAGATGCTTGACAAAACACACTGCGTTTGGACATCTTTTTTTCCAGAGTGTGATTCAGTCTCAGTGACGTGGAGGCCAAAACAGAATCATGAACATGATATTGGTGATGTGAAGTGACAAGACCGAACGATGGCCTGATTAGATGGCTATAATTTCCATGATGTCCTACTGCAGCCCCCATTTCAAGGTTAGTGTTTATTTACAGGTATTAAGAGGAATCAAAACAAAACACATTTTTCGGTGAGCAAAAGAAAAAAATTGGAACACACATTTCGTCAATCAGACTTCATATGTAACATTTGTACATCATCAATGAAAATTGGTGGCAAATGAAAACCCAAGCCATGACATTGCCTCTATTGTGTTTTGCAGATGAGCTTGTATGCAAACCATTTCTTTCTCCGAGCTCGAATTTTTCCATCAGGTTAATATCGGTCACAACAGGTGTCACTTTTTCCCATTTTTCTAATTAATGAGTGGTTAGGATCTTCAAATTGTTCTTTTCAACATCATGGTATCTTTTTTTTCTTCCGTTTGGTTTGTTTTTATTAGTATTATTCATGGGATTTTACAGTATTAAATTGTGTATTCAATCCAGAGATAAATACTCAGGGGGATATAAAACATCAATTTTTATCTCCTTTGATGTAAAATCCAAATGTTTCCAGTACCGGTAAGCTATATTCCAAAAAAATTAAGGACTTGGCTTCACCGGTCCAATACTTTTGGAAGAGAATGTTGAGAGTGAGCAGAATAGGACCTTCTGCAAACTTCCCAGATTATTATTGTCAATGGTTTATTGTATGTGTTCTGTTTTTTTTTTTTTTTTGGGGGGGGGGGGGATTATATTAAATGTTCTGGAAAGTGCTTTGTTACATCTGCTGTGAAAGTGCTACATAAATAAAGATGTATTGTATTATATTGGATAAGGTTGGATAGAATTGCCCAGTAACATTGGGAACAAATGAGTGTGGCCTAACTTGTGAATTATTGGTTGTTACGATAATTTGAGGTGTGTCCCAAGACTTTTGTCCATATAGTCTTTCAAGGCAATCAAGCATTAGATAACACAGAGTCTGCAGACCACCCAAACAGAACATCAGGGTTAATGGCCCACCATCAATTACAAATGCCATGCGCTTTAAGCCTGTGGAAACGTATCAGTTGTAATGAAGGTTAGCTGGGAAGGAGCCAAACCAAACAGATACTTTTTTTTTTTCCGTCAAAGGTTTGAAATGTTTCAGACTATGAAGGGATGAATGATTTGAGTCACTCTTAACCTGACCTTTTTTGAGCAATACCGTGGGCTTTGGGCACTGGACGTTAACTGACAACATGTGAAAATCAGAGAAATGCTTGTCTTGTACATGAAGTAACCTTGGCGACATGGACCTCGGTAGGCGGCGGTGGTGTGTGTGTGTGTTTTTATCTACGCGGAGATAGCACAGTGGCCTTGGGGGCATATCGTGTATATATACGCAGGCCCACTCAGACTTCCACAGTCAGAATTGAACGTCATTGCGAGAGCACCGACATCCTAACTGTTCCTCAATACCGTGATTGAATTTTTGTTCTCTTGAAGCAAAGTATCCCCGTATTAACAAAATGCTGCCTGCAACTTTCAAACTGTGTGCTGGAATCTCCTACCGACATATGAGGAACATGAGAGGTGAGTGAAAGATGAAAGATGAATATTGGGCGATTTACTCATCTCCATTAATGCTTAAAATTGCTTTATTTGTGTCTTATCTGAAAGATATTTGCCTCTTTTGTGCCTTTTGTCTCTATCGTCAAGGTTTAAGAAAGAATGCAATTGTGGCGATACACCATGAGCTGGACCGACTTGCAGGTCCGGGCCCCAGTAACTGGATCAGCCAAGTCCGGAGAAGAAGCTCCCTCCTCAGTGAGTGATGAAATCTTTTCCCTCAAACAAAGACATGCAATCATGTAATCCCTTTTAGGTTACGAGGCTGACAAATACGTTAAAATTCTTAACCTGAAATTTTAAATTCTTTACCCACCTGATTGTTGGAAGGTTCTCCGATTAAGGAGGAGGATGGATACAGTGAGGAGGAAATGTCGTATGTGAAGCAAGGTGAAGATGCGCTGCAGAAAGCGATTGGCATCCTCAGTGAGCAGGAGGGCTGGATTGTTGAAACTGTCGCTGTGAGTATCAAGAGAGGAACCATTGAGTTGATAAATAAGGATTCTGTCAAGTACTACATTGTAGCTGGTGTGAATAAAATGTGAGGGTTAAAAAGCTAGACCCCCCACCACCATCACCACCTTTTCTTAACGACCAGTAACCTTTTTCCTTCAACAATCATGAGAAATCACAGAAAAATATATTCTCTATAATATACGTCCCTGAACATAAAAAGGACAATTGTACCCTTTTTTTTTTTTTACTTGGTCAAAATATTAAATCATGTTCATTTTGTGATAGTAATGATATTCAATTATAATACTTATCTTTCAGTGTATTTAATTACAACTCACTCTTCATCATTACAACTTAAAGGGGAAGTCAAGTCAAAAATGGTCTTTGTTCCATATGTGCCCCCACCAGTCTAAACATTTGCAAACACTTGTGAATGTCACATGACCAAACCCAGAAACATGTGAGCCATGATTTTCGTAACCTGAGCCTTTTGGCAAAATGGCCATTGCCAGAGATGAATGAAAATGGGTGGATTTTTCTGCTTATTTCATATTTCAGAAACGCAATATTAATCAGATCGCATTGGGTGCATAAAGAAGATTATTGGAAAGGATTTTTTTGATTTGACTTCCCCTTTAAGAAGAAATTGCAATTCAATCGCATAATGGTAGTCATGCAACTGATTTTTATTCAGCTGATATGAGATCAATTCCCACTCAATGGCCTAATTCACAACTGTGTGATGGATTGACCACCATTCCAAGGTATCGCCATCCGTGTCAGATGGGCTTCAGTCACTACTGTGACCCTGAGCAGAATATGAAGTACCTGTATGGTTAATGGATGAAGTGATGTTTGTGATGCTCCTCAGGCAAATGGAGACAAAGTTTTGAGTAAGGTGTTGCCTGGCATCGGAAAGGTGTTCAGGCTCGAGGTTCTGTTGGAGCAACATCCTGACAGCCTTTATGGAGAGTTGGTGGGTAACATGGAGCAGATGAGTGAATGGAACCCAAATGTGAAACAGGTCAAGGTGAGGCAGCATCATGTGGATGCAATTACTATGGTACTCCTCACCGAGAAAGAGGGTTTGTAAAAATTTCACATCCCTACAGATTCTTCAAAAGATCGGCAAGGACACGATGGTGACACATGAGGTCTCAGGAGATACACCTGGCAATGTAGTGGGGCCTCGGGACTTTGTCAGTGTTCGCTGTGCAAAGAGACGCGGCTCCACCTGCTTCCTGGCTGGAACGTCCACTAATCACCCAAAGATGCCTGAGCAGAGGGGTGTGGTCCGGTGAGGGATGACTCTAACAAATGAGTAAACCGCACGACTATACAATGTTAAAAGTGATTATGTTTGACAGGGCACAGAATGGGCCCACCTGTATAGTCATGAAGCCCAGCAGTGAAGACCCGAATAAGACTAAGTTCACCTGGTTACTAAATATAGATTTAAAGGTACACTAGACTCTTCTTCGTGATTTATTTTTCATAGCAATGGATTCCACTCCAGTGAGCGTATTGTAAAATAAACGCGGCCTTTGTTGTTTGCAGGGCTGGATCCCAAAGACTATCATCAACAAAGTACTGTCTCAGACGCAGGTGGACTTTGCCAACCATCTCAGGCAAAGGATGGCCAGTCAGGTTTCCGTGGAGATGGCTCACACCTGCTGACGCAACATCCATCCTGTGCTCAGTAATGGCAGAGCAGAGACTAATGCGCCATCAACCCTCACAAATACGCTATGATCCGCAAAGAAAAGATAATTATTAGGGAAATTAGAGGAATATATTGCTTGACTTAACATGGGGACAACCTGAGCACACCTGTTGTTTTCATTTGACAAAAGTGATTTTCTTACACATCCTAATAGCCAATCTTTGACACCAATCATATGTTCATTCGCATTTAGCCACTCCGCCTTGAGCTTGTCTGAGCAGTAAAACAGCTAATGAACTGCACATTGTTTCAGAGTGATAACACCTTGGGTATCATCTATCGTTCTGCTGTGAAATTGCACATTTTATTGCAGTGCTTTATTTATTCATTTTGTGCTGTTGCAATAGCTGCTATGTGAATAAACCATTTCTATGCCATTGATATTTATGATTGTATGCAAAAAGACACTAAGGATACTTGTCTCCTGATGCTTGAAAACTCAAATAAATGCTACAAGACAGTCCATAATCTTGCCTGACTCTACAGTTGTGTTATTATAATAGACAATATTCTGGGGAACATACACAAGCACAGTAAGACACTGCCCTGCAATTTTAGCAGAATTCTTCAAACTGGAGAGGAAAGATCCCAGTACACATGATGACCAACCATCTTTCAAATTCTGGTAGCTTGGCTCACCGACAATTTACCAGGGAGCACATCATCAGTCCGTCTTATAGTGGCCAGCGGCACATTTCATAACAAGTAACAATAGCTTTCAGTGCTGAAAAGAAATCAGTGGACGCTTGTGCAACTTTGCAACTTTTTGTATGGACCCGATTAATGCAAAATGTCTTCAGCGAGACACCTTTCTGTCCAGGCTACCGTACCCGTTACACCATGAAGCATCCTAAAATCGAAATAGTGCTCGGCATCATCTCTGCTGAGTCTCGTGACTTTCTACAGTATTTGTACAGTATTTTTGATATGAATTTTTCATAAAGCCTCACACATTTGATTCATTTTATTGTGATCTTTTACCAAGATGTTAGGCCTTTTATACATTTGCAAAATTTTAAAATAAATATAACACACGTTGAATTGCCTGTAATTGTTGCAATGCTATGCAAATAAACTTCCCTTACATGTCCTCAAACAATTCTTTTGTGCATTTGTTCAATTTGAAACTCATTTGAATGCTTTTCTGTAAGGTACCGTAAATGCAACTTCTGTATTTTTTGATATACAGTATTAGATAGGATAGATGCATGATGCTATCATATATTAAACAATAGCCACCCCGCAGGCACAAATATGAAAGTATGGCTCCTATTTGCATTCATTTGACAAAATGTGTTAAAATGATGGAAATATGAATGCTATCATATATCTATTATGAATATTATCGGATATGTATTTAACTGCTTCGGGGATGGGAAATGTTATGAAAATTATGATGTATGTACATAAGATAATGTGTGCAAAGAAACACGCCATGAATACCTTTGAGCCAGAGAAAAATGACGTAATGAATTAAGATCGCGGCAGAAAACGACAATTCCCAGTATGCATTTGCACTACAGTGTCCGCTGGACGGGGGAAGGGAAGCTGAGATTGGAGGGAGAAACAATCAGAAACTGAGGTACTTTTAAATTCTTCTTATCACACAATACGTTCAGGCAGGAGGGCATCGCGTTAAATTGCTGTGTTGTTTGAAGTGGTCCCCAAGCAAAATGCGTTTGAGTTGCATACGTTTTTGGACTCGGACTTCATCCTCGTTACAGTTGAATAGAGCTACAGTTAGCCCGTTAGTTAGCGCTGACAGCTGCCTTTTCTTGCGAGAACGAGCCGCTGTCAGCCACGCAACTGGACATATTTTTCATGACATGGTGTCCCTCTTCCGTGCACTGCGAAAATAGACGGCCCTTTTCGGAGACATTGCTTTAATTGCATTCGTTGTTTGAGCAGAAGCCGTACCTGCGTCTTTGTGCCTGCGGGGTTGCTAGCTGACATATTGCTATATTGCTGGTTGCTAGCTGCCCTGACAGCTCCTGTACTGTGGTGACGTTACAGCTATCTATTTAGGATTGCCAAAAAAAGTTATTCTATTTTTTTTCAATCACTTAAGCAAATTTACAAGTTAATCAGACATATTCAGAATGGCATTTTGCTATGTATTCTTCATTTTGATTTTTTTTAGCAGTTATGTTGTGAGTACAGTACTCTGTCCAGTTTTGGATTATTAGTGGAAACTTTTACGGACGGAATTGAAATATGAGTACTGAAATTAATCTTGCTTTTTATGCGTATGTATCATACTGCATTTTCATTGCTTTTCATTGGTTGCAATGCCTCCTCAGTACTTCTCAATTATTTCATGCTGTCAGTTATTTTGTGACCAGCCAGAAGAAACTCTGCGCCACGAAAATAAATGGAATCATTATCTGTAAAATTGTTGTAAGTGCATAAAATGGTATCCTTATTCACAGCAAAGAAAACGAACAAGAAAAAAGGGAGAGATCAACTAACAACAAAGAATACATTTATTAACCTTGTTTTTTTAGTCTCTCTCTCTCTCTCTCTCTCTCTCTCTCTCTCTCTCTCTGCATTTCTTTTTTTTGTTAATTATTTTACCGTGGTGTCTCCTGAGGGGTTGTTTCACAGTGATTCATATCACCTAAAAAAAACCTGCACACACTTCTGTGGATGTGTAATTACACTTTTTATTCTATCTATCTATCTATCTATCTATCTATCTAACTCATGGCTTTTTATTGTTTAGAATTTTATCTGTGGTTTTATTGCTCTTTTTTGATTGTAAATTGTCCTTGGGTATTTTGAAAGGCGCTTATAAATAAAATGTATATATAGTGTATATGTTGGCTGGGGTCAAACGCGCTCCCCGTGGCATCATTCCATACCTAACTATTTGCGAAAGACAGAGTTCTACACATGAGTATGTAGTCTCGTGCTGTAGGGCTGGGCAAAACTTCAGTTCAAATTTTGTTTTTAAATTGACAGATGGGGCGGGTCATTCAGAGATGGGGTTTTTCTCCATTGTGAGACAAATAAAGGTTTTCTTATCTTTAAAAAAATAAAAGGTCAATAATAAAGTACTGTATTACGTTTTTTATTTGGTATATTGTTTGTAGTTCAGTTAACTACAATGAACCAATTGCTCTGGTGAACAGCAAATTTTATTCAGAGATGGCTTTATTTGTTCCGAAAAGTATTTTTGATGCTGATTTTAAAAAATGTCTATTTTAGAGCGCCCCATGTTCTTGAGATATTGTCATATTTTATTTTTAAATTTGACCTATTAAAAGCTTGCACAATAATTTATGGCTACAATGTGTCAGAAAAGAATTCCTTATTGCTGAACCTAACCCTTTATGTGTAAATACTACTATATGGCACATTATTATTAATTACTAAAGTAAAAAAAGACAAGTGATGACGACTGACAGGGGCCCTTGAAAATTGGATTGTCAATTTGCAGGATTGAAGTGGTGGGGCCAGAGTGATAAAGGGTCTTTTTTTTTTCATAGGGCCCCAAATCCTCGGTGGACATTTAACTGTGTTGCAAAATTGATTATAGAAGTGATGAATTCAATTTGCTTTGAATTTTCCAGGACACATGTTTGGCAAATCTAAGCCTATTAGTTTTTCTCACCTTTTTTGCATTGAGTATATTTAATATCTTGTGTTTGAGAGCTTTGTGATTAATTTGTTTAACTTCACATTGCAGATTGTCATGCAGATGACACCTCCTCCAAAAGATTGTTGCCAAAAAGAAGACAACTCATGATCCACATCTGGACATTTGCCCTTTTTATTGTTTCACATGAGGCTGAAGATCACTCAGTCAATTAAAGTGTGCCGCTATCTCCGCTGCACTTATTGGATTTGTCTTGAGAGCCAAAGTAATGAAGTGTCTGTTATGAGGAAAGCTCAAGCCTGAAGAGCAATGTCATTATCCAGCTTCTGGGCACCTCTGATGGCGATGAGGAGCGAAGCAACTGGCCAAGCAGATCTGTGGAGGGGAGGAAGGAGGGAGGTTTCCGGGAAACGTGCCATTTCCTCTCGGCGCTAGACTGATATCTGCACATTCCTCTCCGTGTGCGCACTCAAGGTTAGACTATAGGAGGAGGCTGCCACTTGAACCAACGCTCATCACGGTTCAGACGGAAAACCAGAGATGTGCGCTATCTGGACTTCTGTAACCAGCTTGGTGGAGTCTTAACTTGTCACAGTGGACATTTCCATCCATATGAAGCATAAATCCTGGCAATCACTCCACATGTGCACTCAAGAAATCATGGTTGTCTTTGTAGCAACTTGTCAGCCCAACTCAGTCCAGGATTTCAGAATCCTTTAGAGGCTACAATCGGGAAGACCCTTGCCAGCTCACAAATTCATATGCAATGGAAGAAGACACTGATGTCACTTTCCACATTGAGGTAATACATATGGCCTTCTACACACGTCATCATTTTAATTTGGGCGATTAGAACAAAGTCGAGACTGCTCTGTCTTAGTGCTTCCTTGTGTTTAGAACCACAAATTATGGAGTCATGTTCTCCTCCTGCTCTGAGCTGTTAATTAATTAAGAGCGTGTTTGTTTATAGCAGTTCACCCACATGTTTAAGACCTAAGGTCAACAGCGCTCTCCACTGCTTTAGCTGTAATCTCTGCTCTCGCTCGCTTGCCATGTTACCATGGCGGCAGCTGACAGAGCACTTCTCTTATCCTCAGCTTGGTTTCTCTCCGTAAGCTTCCTTCGTTTGCCCGTGGCCTCCAGTCTCGTGCATATGACTTTTTTGTTTTAATCATGTATGGGCTTCTCAATGAGTTAAACAAGATTTCTGTTTTCTCTGCGTATTTTTGTGTGTACATCTCTTAACCATCTGCTGCATGGGGCGCCCTCTTCCTACTTTTAGGGCCAAAATGGTTTGTCTCTTGAATGTAAATCATCAGAGGAGACCACCAATGGACACTCGAACCAAAAGCCTGTGAGTACAATTCCATAATCCCTTCCATTGTGTTCACCTCCTTGGATTCAAGATTTCCTGCTTCCTCTAAAACTACGGAAAAATTATCTTTCTAGGTTATGAATGGATTGATTATCAGTCAGAATGTCAAAGACCACACCAACAGTTGTGCCCCCCTCACATCCCTGCCGGTAATTACCGCCGCTAAGGAGTTTATTTTCTCATCCATGAAGTACAGATTTTTTTTCTGTATTTTGCGACATGGCGAGTACAGTCGAGTGGGGGAGTGGGGAACGATGAACCGCGTTTAAGTGGGTTATGCACAACTGCAGATTCAACTTCCAAGTTTCTGTATGTCATTTGCATACTTTTTGGTCAAACTGCAAAAGGCATGACTTAGTTTTCAAAGTTGCCGAGTGCACTAAATATTTTGATAGGGACTTTGCAATGCTACTGATAATATTTCGTTTTAATTATTATTATTTTTTAAATTTTCATTAATCAAATAACCGGTCTTCATGACAAGACTTACACTAAGTTGATTGTGT